GCATAATTATAGAAACCTGTTGAATATGGATGGTAAAAATATCTTAAAAGTTAATTGACTTATTAGATTTTACAATTAAATTTGTTATTAAATATAAATTATAATATTTTACAGTTTGCTATTTTTATTTTTGCTATATTGGTTCTTGAATGATATTTTTTCTATTCAAAAAATTAATAAGGAATTTTGAATGTTATACATCGAAAATACAAACTTATAAGATACAGAAAGGGAAAATGCAGATCAAGGAGAGACAGGTTCACATGATCTGTAGTTCTTGAACAAATTTGGACTTGAAGGTTTTAAATTTACCTAATGATAAATTTCACACTTTTAAAAATTTCTAAACTTTGGTCGTGGTAAATCTATAATAACTCTTATTATAATAACTTACATTCCAAGAAAAAGAAAATGGGTGGCCATCGTCCAGCAGCCTTAACACCATCTGCTATTAGAACGGCAGAGCTTATGGAAGCTCGTTCTAATTTCCGTACCACATTTGAAGAAAGTCTTGGTTGTAAGTTATTTTCATACAAAGAGTTCTTTAAACACAAAGTAATTAAACTTAAATCGTTTTATTGTTAACCATTTTTATTAATTGTTTTTGTATATAGGGTTTAATTCCGTAAAATTAGAAGAAGGAGTCTATTTCCAGGCTCCTGATAATATTGCTCAAACAGATTCATTATATCAAAAATTTAAAAGTGTTTTAAAAGAAATTGTTGATAGCGAACCCGAATTAGCTACACAAGTTAAATCAGGAGAAAAAGAATTAGAAGTTCTAGAGGATCATCAGAAGGTATAATAGATCGATTGATTTTATTTTATGTATATTATTGTTTCGATGGAAAGAACGGATTCGTAAATTACTGGGAAATTTTAAGTTATTCTTGATCCTTGATATTATATTCAAATTAAAATTACGAAAAAATTTTAAAATCTTTGATCATGATCTTAAATTATTTATTCATCCATTAACAAAAATTATTTAACAATCAAAATAAAAATAGGTTAAAGATCTTCTCGGTCCACCGCCACAGATACTAAATGTTGATGAGATTGCAGAATCAACGTCTTGATGGTTTTATTTTCTAAAAAAAAAAGTTTTTGAATAATATTTAAAAAGAAATTAATTATTCGATTCCGATTTTAATCATCGATTACTTTTAGATATATTGTTGGGAATTGTATGTATTTTAAATTGTACTGTATTTTCAACAAAAAATTTATTTATTTTTAGTTTATTCAAATGATACAAAAAAGTAATAAAAACCATTTTTTTGACATCATCTGATAAGTTTTGTCGTAATTTTGAGTAGAATTATGTTTTATTGATAATTTTGTATAATATAAAGAATTAACCACCAAAATCAAGATGGATAATCATCACGTGACATAATTGATTAGTGTGTCAGTGATATAGCGCTTATATTTTATCGTCCAATAAAAAATGGAACGCAATTAACGTTTGAATTCACACAAAATTTTTTCAACTTCTATTTTTAATTACAATTTTATGTAATTTTATTAAATGCCGCAATTTTTTATTTTGAATTTCTAATACTAATCGCTATTCTAAGAATTTTTTTAAGTTTTAATTTATTAACATTTTAAAATTAAAATTTTTAATAAGTATTTTCTAAACAAATATATTTTTATTATTTTTATATTATAAAAAACTTTGAAATTGAAAAATACATTTGGATAAAAATTCTTATTATTTAAAAGATAATATATATATATTTTTTTATATAAATTTCATTATTTACAAATTATAATTTTTATTATAAAATTTTTAAATGCTTTCTTATATTTAAATCAAACAAAAAAAAAAGAAAATAAGCATCATTAATCTTATCTTTATAATTATAAAATGTAACTTAATACTATTTATTAACTTTAAATATACTATTAAATTCTTTAATTTAAAAATTAATTATTCTTTCTTTTTTTGCAATAGAAAAGAAAGAAATGGCTAGAAAAATTAAAATGAGTTAATGTTAAATCTGAATATATTTTAATATAAAAATCATATTTGGCATATTTTTTTAAATTAAATTCTTAAATTATATTAATTATATAAGTTTACAAAAAAAAAATTTTTAAATATATCTAAATTTATTTGATTATAAAAATCATAATTAATATATAAATAAAAAAAATTTAAAAAGAAAATTTTATTAAAAAAATGTAAAATTAAAATTTGGATTATTTAACAATTATATTATATATCTAATTAGTATTTTTGTTAAAATATGTAAATTACAATTTAAATAATATTATTTAAATTCTTATTTAAATTTAAATATATTAATAATTTTTAAATCAAGTTACATATCAACTAGGAAAATGGTAACTATTATGAAACCAGAAGCTTATAAAAAATTATATTTTGATATATTTAACAAAAATGAAATAAATAATAAACAATATCAGTTATAAATTTATATATACAATAAACTAATTAAACTATCAATTCAATTGATAAGTGGGCTGATAGTAGAACATTTTTTATAGTTATATATAATTCTTCACTATAACCCAGACTAATTAGTTTAATTATAATAAATAATATTAATTATTCTTTTTAAATTTTTAATTTTTAAAAAATAAAAATAAGCAAACATAAATATTTTAATAAAATTTTAAAAGAAAATTTAAAGTAAATCAATTTTTTATATTAAATATATCTAGTAAAAATTTTTATTTATTATTTAAATATATTAAAAGTTATTTAAAGATTTATATATAATAATTAAAATTCTTAAGAATTTTATTAATTAACTAAATATAAAAAACATTTTTTTTATAATATTATATATATGATAATTTAAAATTTTATGAAATTATAATATTATGATTTATATTTATATTAATTAATTATTTAAATATATAAGATTATTTTATAAAGTTTCATAATAATTAAAATCTTATTAACTATATAAGATATATAAGATTTTTACAATAAAAAGAGAAAAACTGTTAGATAAATTAATTTTATTTTTATATGTTAAATATTTTATTTTATTATAAAGGTCTAAAATTAAGATTTTTTATTATAAGAAATATATATAATAATTTAAAATTATGTTACAATTTAAATTTTATTGATTATTTATGATAAATAGTTTTTTTTTTATAAATTTTATATTTAAAAATTTTAAGATTAATATAATATAATTTAAATCTTTATCAACTTATCTAAAATAAATTAAAGAATTTTTTTTTTTATGAAATTTATATATAATGATTTAAAACTTTATAAGGTTTTATATACAAAGATTTTTTTTTTTTATAAGAATTATATATAATAGTCTAGAATTTATAAGAATATCTTAATAACTAAATTATTTTTTCTGTAATATATTAAAGTTTATTAATTTTTTTTTTTATGTTAAAAAAATGAATTTAAATATAATGAAAAAATTTGAATAGAAAATTTTGCTTTTAATATTAGTTATTAAATTAAATAAGAATTATTTAAAATATAAAATATATAAATATATTCTTATATTAAAAAGATTTATAAAATATTATAATATAAATATAAAATACATTAAATATATAATAATTATAATTAATTATTTAGACAAAAATTTTTTTTAGATGTAAAAATAGATGTAAATATAAAAACATCATAAAGTTAATTAAATAAACTAATTCTATAATATTTTAAATTTTTTTTTTTTTAATTATTTTAAAGAAATCAATCCATTTGGTTTTTTTAATATCTTTCTTTTTTTTTTGTTTTTAAAAAATAAAAAGTATTTTAAACAATTAAAATCAAATCTTATATTAAAAAAATAAATGATTTTATATTCAATTCTTTTTAATAAAATAAATTTCTTTTTTAGTTAATTTACAATAATTCTATAGAATTTTAAAATAACTGCTATCGTTTTGATGAATCCAATTCTTTCTTTTTTACCATAGTAACAAACACCAACAAATGAGTATAAAGCACAAATATTTGCTGTTTTCAAAATATGTTTAACTCACTCTTTTTGTTGTCAATAAATAAGTGAAGAAATAATGTATTCAAGACAGATTTTGCTAATGACAATGAAATCAATTACAATTAGTCGGCCGATTTACAGCCTTTTTTTTCTTTTATAAAAACGACATGAACAGCGAACCTTCAGAACCTTTTGACCTTCTGAAAGATAAACATACATATTTTTGGTTTTTTATATTAAACACCCGTGTTTCAGAGTTTGGTCCTGAGCTAATTAATGGACCAGAAAATTCAAGAATAAGTAGTTCATTACTTAATTGGATTGAACCACAAAATAAAACTTTGAAATTGTCAAACATAAAAATTTGCCTATGTTTTTTATTTTTTATTTTTTTTTTTATTTTTAGCAATAAATAAAATATGTAACCTTCCTTTGAATCACAAATTTTCTGATAATTTCTCCAAATTTCTATATTGTCATGCTTTAGACTTTGGCGATGGAACTCCGAGTAAATATCGCTTACAAAATTCGACGGATGAAGTTTAATTACTTCACTAATGTACAAAAACCTGAATTCTCAAGAATTTCAATAATTATCTCTGTATTTCATTTCTCAATATTTAATATTAAAATTATTTGTACTCAATTTGCAATAAATCTTTTAGATATGCATGCAACGTGCCAGTTGGGATATTTCATCGCCTTAGCTATCCTTTTAAATGGTTTGAAATTAATTTGAAATTATGTTTTTAAATAAAATTCCTAGATGTTATAAAGAACGAGATGTTCAATTGAATGATCTGTTTTATATCATAAATTTTTTAATTCATTTCTTTTGCAATATCATATCATCGTTATTTTCTTTATCTTCGCATCTTTCATCCTAATCACGATATTTCTTTTCGCTTCTTATTGATTTTAGCCTGTTGGATCAAATTCGCAAATTCATCACGATATTTATCAGGTAAAAGAATAAATTAAAATTAAATTAAGGCATAAAATTTATATATAAAGTTGAATTAAAAATTTTAACTATAAAACGAATCATATAAAAAAAAAAAGGATATCATAAGAATCGATTCCTTCCTGATTAGTTAAAGATTTCTTAAGCATGTAGGCATCCTTTGCTTCATTACTATGTTGAGCTCTTTCCCATTTCTTCATATCCCTTAATAATTCTCCTTTGCTCTTTGGATTCGTCGCATCAATATTTGAATTATAAAGATTTGTATAGTAAGAGTGACGAGCTATCATTTCACATTTAGTTCCATCTGCTACCAAACCCTCTTCCTGTTATATATAAATTTAAAAAGTTATTTAAACTGTGATACTTACGATAAAAAATTTTGTATAAATAATGATTACCTTTAGAAGGTTCTTCAATTTCCTGTCATTCATTAAGCTATATACAACCTTTGGCTTTTTGCCATGTAGTTTATTTGGAGAGTGAACCTTTTTATTAGGGGAAAATGATTCAATATCATCAAATATACGTCTCTTCTTGGTACTCTGCTTATTGCTATCATTGCTATCACTATCATATATATCATGTATTTTGATCGATTTTTCCGATGCAAATTTAGATTTAGGCTTTTCTTCAATCAAGGATGAATCATTTATTAAATCGGAATTAAAGTTAGAAATTGATTTGAAGGGTTTTTCTTTCATATATTTTGCCACTTTATTTTCTATCAGTCTTGACTTTCTCTCTTCCTCACGACGTTCTCTTTCTTCGACTTGTTTACCGAGAGTGTATAAACGCGCTATTAATTCACTAAATTAGATAAAACACGGAGTTTGTTCAGTATATCATAAATGTGATATTATGAATTTTTACACTTCAACACTTTACGAGAAAAAAAAAAAAAATTTCTACCTATTATTTTTATATTCTTTGATAAGATCTTCAATCATAATATTTTTATAAAACTGTGTAAAGGAGGTGAAGGAGTACTCACAAATAGGGCAACATAATCCAGTCAAATGATTATCGCTATCAAATTTTGCACATCCGGCACAAAATGTATGTTGACACTTTGATGACATTGGGAGGTCATAAAAGTTTTTGCAAACCGAACATTTTAACTCGGACTCAAGTTTCATTAATTCCTTTATGTCAATATCAATATGTCGTACGGAGCGATGAGGAGTCGAATGACGAGGAGGAGGTGAAACTTCTGAAAATGGATCAGTCGTTTCGACTCGGGGATTGAGAGGAGAAGAAGGTATGGAACTACTCTTATGATAATGTAGTCGAGTTGGTGAATCAGTTGGTGTAGTAGAAGTTGAGTATTGCATGATCAGTATATTTTGTCGAGAAAAAAATATTAGTTGAAGAACAAATTTCTTTTTACGCGTCTTTTATAAATCCGACAAAATAGGAAATTACACGATTTGTGCTGTATCACTTGAGTAAAGATAGTAATATAAACAAATATCCTTTTTTATCCTTTTTTTATTTAATTTTCTTATTTAGTTCTACTACATTTTCTCTAATCGTTTTAGATTTTTTTCGTTTTCTTTTTCGCTTTTTACTGTTAGTTAAATCATTCGTAATATTGGTACTGGTAACCAGGTTAGAAGTATTATCATTTACTTCGTTTTCCGAAACACGAATAAAACATGCCACAAAAAATCCATTCATAAAATCTTCTGGTAATGTTCGAATAAGTTTAACGGCAGTTTCTATTGATTTATATTCGGTTTTTTATTTTTTTTAAAAAAAAAAAAATAGAAGAAAGCGACTTAATAAAATATTTGAAATCATATTTGGCGAAAGATGTAGAAGTTTACAAACCTTCATCATTGAATTCACTTGAAATACCACGTCTATCCCAAGTTGGTACAACATCATTTCGATTAGCCAATAAAAAAGTTTCAGTTTGCTTTAATACCCGTTGAATAACTTGCTCATTTTCTTGAGGGTGTATTGAACATGTTGAATAAACTATCCTCTTCGCTGAAGGAACTATTTGTATTTTATGATACGTCGGAATCAATAATATTTTAAACTCCGACCTCCCAAATCATTGTTCATTGCTTACATTTGAATGCGTGTAAAATGATCTTTTCTTGGAATTCACTTAAATTTTTCAATCGTAGATCTTGTGAATTTTGACTGGTGTCGGATTGATCCGTTTCTTGCTCTTTTTTGAAATAATAAAAGGTCAAAGATGTCATGTAATTTAATGAATTCATATTTCAACGAAATATAATTTAATATTCACCAAAAGCATCAACTAATTTATCCAGTCGGTTTACTATGCCAGATCCGGAACAAGATGGATCAAGTAAAATATATTCAACTTTAGAATACCTTTCATCCAAAGGATCCACATCCAAAAAGGATCCATGTACCGCTTCAATATCTAAATTTATCCATAATCGTAAATTTTAGAAGATATATATCACGAAAAAAAAAAATTTTCCCCTTCTAAAATAAAAATAAAAAAAAAAAGGAAACGAGAATGATACTTTTACATCCGGCCTTTTGAGTTAATTTCTCCAATAACTTTAACCTTTTCTTATCAAGATCAAAGGCCCAAATTTTCCCAGTATTTTTCATTATTGCCGAAAGATGAGAAGTTTTATTTCCCGGTGCAGCACATGCATCTATTACATGTGAATCAATTTGTGGAGAACAAATATAAGCAGGAAAACATGAAGCTTTATCCTGATTAAGAAAAGAAACGTTAATACGGAACCTACTTTTCGAACTGAAAAAAAAACCCCCCCCCCCCCCGCGTACTTGAAGGATTATTTCACCAGATAGATAAAGTGGATGATCATGAAGGTCAGTCTTTGGTGGTAATATTAATAAATCGAGTAAATGAAAATCTTTACGTATGGTCCTTGTGCTAAATGAATCGTCATGATATATAAACACACTATAAGAAATTAAATTAAACAATAATTTGTGAATTACATTCTTTACCTTATGTCCGACAACACTTTAATCGATTCTTCAAGCACATATCCTTCCAATTGAAAATGTTCAATAACCTTTTTAACGGTAGTTTTAAGAGTATTAACACGAACATAACGCGGAAGGACGACTGTAATAGAATTAATTTTAGCATGTCTCACATACAAAAGGTTCATGAATTTCCAAGTCTATGTTACCTGCATTACGATAATCAGATGATATCAAATCTTCATTATTTTTCACCTTTGATTTGATTTTTAATTTAACGAGTTCGGCTCTCAATATAATTTCATTTCTCATGATTGCGATTTTGTAAGGACCATCAGATAAATTCTTTAACCCTTCTGAAGAAAATAATAGATCATGTACTAACAAAATAGCAATATTTTTCGGTAACTAATATTAAAAATAAATGAATGAATGAATGAAGTGGTTAAATGTTAAATTAATTAATTGATAAAAAGATGAACACCTGTTTTTCAACTTTAAGTAGTTTAGAATTATCAATGATCTTATTAATAACATCTTTATCTTAAATAAAAAGACAACAGTTTTTTAATAAATATAAACCTTTTAATCATCATTTGAAAGAACTATACGCACATTTTAATGTTTCACATATTAAGGCATACATTTTTTTCTTTTCTTTAACCGTATTTGCTAGGGTAAGTGACTTAATTGAGCCTTCTCTGGCTGATAATTTTGTTAATATATCCGCTGCTTGCTTATAAAAGTTCATTTTTCATAAAGTTAATAAATTGATTTGATTAAATTCTGCATTACAGAATAAATAGAGCAAAATTTTGAAGATAATTTATTGCTGATTTGATAATTAATTTTGGCAAGGATTTTCAAATTTAGTAAATTGATAAAATACTACGTGTATATGTATATGGCAACGAATGATTATAAATGATGCGATCTTTCATTTTGCTTGCCAAATTCAAAGAATAATTTTTCTCGTGTATTTTTCTAATATAAGCATTTCGAATTTGTTATCCTTTTTTTGGAATGAAGTAAAAATGTATCAGTTAAATTTTCGTTACTGCCAGTTTTATAATGGAATCACATTTGTATAGGTGGTCGGTGGTCTTGATACACGCGTAAAAAAAAAAAGATAAAACAAATGAGAATTTGAAATTGCAAAATTACCACAATTCAAAGTAATTCTCCAGGATGTAGTGTTATGTTTCAAGATATTTTTAATTAACGACATAAATCTGGACTGCGGCAAGATTTTGCAGTTCAACCTTTTTAAGACTAGATAAAATGCATGATCATATTATGTACATGTATAAAATAAATCTCCGATTTTTTATTAATAATTTTTTTTTTTAAATTTAGCTTAACCATCGTTTAATAAAATACTAGGATAAAAATAAATATTTATTACTATTAAAGGGGATTTTTTTTTTTTAAAAAAAAAGTGTTAAAGTGTATGTACAAGAAAAAAAAGGTAGTAAATTATATATTCACAAATTTTGTTACATAATTACATAATTACAAAGTAAGTTATTATAAAGGGAAACTAGGGAAGAATATTTACAAGTGTTTATTTTTGGCGAGTCGTAAAATATGTCATAGATCTTAATATTTTTTTTAGCGAGTTATGAAATCTTATGATATTAAAAAACTCTTAAATAATATATATATACATAAAGTAACCCTTAAATCATTCAAAAGTTTCAACAATAAATTTCCTCCTTCTTTTTGAACCAAGATTATTATTAGAACCAGGTGAAGATGTTGAATTATTTGAAAAATAAGAGCCTTCTAATTCAAATTTTCTGCCTGATGGAGTGCTAACAATTGAAGTGGTGGTTGTCGTTGAAGTTGATGAATAAGGAGTATCAGGAAATGAAAGTGAGTCGCGCGAATTTACGCTATTTGGCCGATTAAATGTAGACGTGAAAGGGGATTGTTTAAGTGATGAAGAGACAAGAGTTGGAGTTGGGATTGGGATTGGAGATGAATGTGGTTTGGGTAATGGGGTGATGTATAAGGTCGGTTTATTATAACAAGGATACGATTGTGATGACGGTAATGATTTGTTATTGAAATATACCAAATTACTTTGATGATGAGCGAATGAATCGGACGCTCTACGTGGACTTAGACTATTGTAGTAATAATAATTTGACGATAAAGGAGAAGAATATATAGGAGAATTCAAGTAATAAGGTGAGATTGGTGAGAGTTGTTCATGACTTTTTATTCTTATTGATCCCTTAAAGGAAGGTGAATCGGGTGATTCGGATAAAGACACCGGAAGACTCGAGCTACTACTAGATCGTGATTGCGATATCGTACAACAAGATGAATATGACGAAGAAAGTGATTTATAACCCTCCCCCGTTCGTGAAGAAACATTGTTGTTGTTATCCCCCTCTCTTATGATTGTGAATCTTCCTTTCCTGGCTAATACCTCGGTTTCAGAAGATCTCCTTGGAATGGTAGCACATCTTTCAATTAATGTAGTTTTCGTTTTATCATTTTCCACAAAATCAATTTCTTCGTCACGAAAATCTTCCTTTAATGGAACATCCGCCTTTGTTGAAATAAATCTTGAAGTTATATGAACTTTTGCCACAACGTTCTCTGAATCATTTTTCTGATCGTATTCTGTTGTCGATGAGGACGTAATCGAACTTTTTGTAGCGCGATCTTCTAGACTGACCATGATCTTATCATCATCATCACCGTGAATCATATCGTCGTCTTTCAAAATATTTTCTTTATCGATATGGTCCATTATCATTCCGTCATCATCATCATTATCATCATTGTGATGACTACAAACATTATTTTCGATTACATCAAATGTGTTTGTAATATTCTCTTTATCAGTAGTTCGTAAAATCTTTTTATTCCTTGATGACCTTTTTTTTCTCGAGTAACAATTTGTCGTGGATGGCCAGATATGATGTAACCTTATTAATGCATTCTTCCAATTCTTTTTCCTTTTGCCATTTTTTCTAACGCTTTGTACATCAACATCGACGACCGCAATGAAATTGTTATTAGGTAAATCATCAGCGGTTAAACCAAGAGAAGTCGATGATTTTATATTATTATTACAGTTACTGTTTAGAGATAATATGTTCTTCTTATTCCTTTTTTTAAAAAGGTTGAAATGTGGCATTGATATATATATAGCGTACCCTAATCAAATCAAATCAATAACTGCGTCAGGAAAAAAAAAAAAAACCAAGTTAAAAAATAAAATCGGGGGGGTTTTTTTTTTGTATTTTTAAAAGAAAAAGAAATTTTTTTTTTTTTAGTTTTACTTTCAAAAATATTTAATGTGTATTTATATATATTAAAAAAAAAAAAATTTTTTTTTTTTCGGAAAAAATATGATAATTTAAGTATAGCAGTTTTTATTATTATTATCACAAAATAAATTAAAAATAAAAAAATTTGAAACTCATTCGAGGAGCAGAAACTATAATTTAAATAGAAAATAGGTTAACCATAACACTCGAGAATGCATAACCTTTTCATGCAAATGGAAGAGCGTATATTCTTTTATAACAAAAAAAAAAAATAAAAAAAAAAAAAGGAAGATATATATAAATAAATAAAAATATAAAATTGGTAGGTTACACGTTAAATAGATGATAATCAAATCAATACAAATTTAAATGTTCGCGTAATACCGAGTTGCAAAAGATAACATCTGGTCCCAAACTGATCTCATTATATTTTTGGACTAATAAAAAAAAAGAGGCCTTTTTTTATTATTTTATTGTCCCATACCATTCATTGAGTTTCAAATTTTCGAGTATGCGTATGTGTATATGCGTGTGTGATATATATATCTGGGAAACTACGTTAAAAACCATTCTTTTATGCGGTTCCTGATTGGCCGAAAATAATCAAAAAATCAAGTAAATGTATTTTATAAACAAAAAAACGGGGTTGAATCACATTTCTTTGAAAAAAGAAATTAAGACAATAAAAAAGAAAATTCCATTCTTACTAAATAATAATTAAACTGGAGTCGAACCCCACTAAAAAAAAAAAAATAAAAAAAAAAATAAAAAACAAATAAATGGTCATCTTACAGATTCTTTTGTTATTGATAAAAATGATAAACTTATACTTCAAGTACTACCCAGATTTTTAATATCCAAATCAGAATTCCAAAAGGAAAGAAAATTTTTTTTACGGAATTAAGCGGGTTCTTAAAATTTTACTGTACAATCGCAATTATAATCAAGAACCAATATTTAACGTTATTTGGTTGTCACACAACCTTTCCTCTTAACATTAAACGGTAAAGAATATGTCAAATCAACTTGTCAAACCCTCATGACGTGATTAATTAAACTTGTTTATTAAAAGATTTTCTACAATATAAAAAACCTTAATTTGTTAATAACAATAACCATAAAAAAAAAAAAATTTCAGGGGTTCATTTGTAACAATGATATATACATCTCAATGGATATCTAAATAGGAAATAGTATGTTAGATAATTTATATATTATTTGATAAATTATTTAACCAATTAAATAACTTTAAAACTATAAAAGCAATTCTTTAAAATAAAATAAAAAATTCAATATTAAAGTTTTATAAAAGTTTATTATGACTTTTCAAACTAATTACAATTGGTATTTATAGTAAATATTAATTAATTATATTAAAATATTTAGTTTTAATAATATAAAAATATAAATACTTTAAAAATAATATAAATTTACTAATATATATGAAAAGATTGTTATGCTATAGGAATTTTTTATACAAAATTTAATTTTTATTGCATTTTAATTTTTGATGTTATTAGATTAAAATGTAGTAAGATCTTAATTTTAGTTAAAAAAATTCCAAAAGCCTGATTTTCCTAGCAAACTTCCCATATATAATATATAATTCATTTAAATTATAAGAATTTTCATTAAGAATATAATAATATTTTATTAAATAAATTTTCTTATAAAAATTTAATTAAATGTTAATAATATAAATTTTTTGCTTAATTTTATTTTATAAAAAAATTTATAATTATTTAACATATGTAGATATTATAACTTAAAATTAAAATTAATTATACAAATTAAATAGTTATTTATTATTTTATATTATATTTTACTATATTTACTAGGTAATTTAAAAATAAAATAAATAAAAGTTATCTGATTTAAAATTTTATTATAATTTGATTTTAAATTATTTTATTAAAATAAAATAAAATTTTATTTTTAATTTATTTATTTAAAAAAATATATTATTTAACATTAAATAATAATTTTTTTAATAATTTTTAAAGTAAAATATAAATTTTTTAAATAAATAATATTTTTATTTTATTTTAATTTAAATAAAAAAATTTATTAATTCTTAAATTATATATTTTTTAAATTTTATAATCATATTTTTAGTAATTTTATCTATTTAATAAAATATTAAGTTAAAAAAATTTTATTATATGATAAATATTATATAAAATTATTAATTATAAAAATTTAATTTTAAAATTTAATTTTTATAATAGTTTAAATTATTTAATTATAATATTTTTCTTTTTTTACATTATACTATTATATTATTATTAATAAATTTAGTTATTTATATATTTTTTACTTTTATATTTTACTAGTTTTTATAAGTAATTTTTTCATATTTATATAAATATATTCATAAATATTAAAAAGTTAAATAAAAAATCATATTTATTAATATAAATGTATATTAAAATTTATTAAAATAATTATAATTATTAAATATTTC